AAAAAAAAAAAAAAAAAAAAAAAAAAAAAAAAAAAAAGGGAAAAATGTTAGAAACGTGTTAAAGTAGTTGCTTGCCAGTTATGTGGGTTTATGTTGTACATTTACCTTCAGTTATGTCTGTGATCTAATTCCTTTTTAATTTAGTGTTGTTTAGGACAAATTCTGTTAATTTTCTTTCTTCTAAATCATGGTGACGTACTTCAAAACATAGATGTTTCCAAACAAATTGCTTTGCATTACATATGCAAGGGCATGGAGTGAACAGTTCCTTGTGGAAGAGTCACAGAAATGACATTAAATTAAGAAATTAAAATGCCACTATTCCCCACAGGAAATGCATGTTACTATTGTATAAAGGCATCTTTCCTATAAGGCGTGCAACTGTTTACATTTGGGAATGTTCAATAACCTAACTTTTCTCAAGTCCTACTTTCAAGTACAACTTTGTCCTGAACTACATTAAAGAATTTTGTTTAAAAAAAAAAATGTGTTACGCATATCAGGCAGTAACCAGAACCGTCCTTTTCTGTTTCAGGACATTCACTGAACAATGCCAGGGATACAAGTGCCATGGATACTCTACCGCTAAATGGTAATTTCAACAACAGCTACTCTTTGCGCAATGGTGACTATAACGACAGTGTGCAAGTTGTAGACTGTGGACTAAGCCTGAATGATACTGCTTTTGAGAAAATGATCATTTCAGAATTAGTGCACAACAACCTGCGGGGCAACAGCAAGAACCACAACCTGGAGCGCACACTGCCAGCCAAGGCTGTGATCGGTGGGAGTAGCAGCGAAGATGACGCCATCGTGGCAGACGCCTCATCTTTGATGCACAGTGACACCCCTGGGCTGGAGCTGCACCACAAAGAGCTCGAGGCCCCACTTATTCCTCAGCGGACTCACTCCCTTCTGTACCAGCCCCAGAAGAAAGTGAAGACCGAGGGAACTGACAGCTATGTCTCACAGCTGACAGCCGAGGCTGATGACCACCTCCAGTCCCCCAACAGAGACTCTCTTTACACAAGTATGCCCAACCTCAGAGACTCTCCGTACCCAGAGAGCAGCCCCGATGTTGAAGAAGATCTCTCTCCTTCCAGGAGAAGTGAAAACGAGGACGTTTACTACAAGAGCATGCCAAATCTAGGAGCTGGCCATCAGCTTCAGATGTACTATCAAATCAGCAGGGGTAATAGCGACGGCTATATAATTCCCATTAACAAGGAAGGATGTATTCCAGAAGGAGATGTTAGAGAAGGACAAATGCAACTAGTGACAAGCCTTTAATAGTGTAGCAAAGAAATATTAAAGGCCATGTACAAGTATTAAAAAGACTTAATTGGCCCCGTGCAGGCTCCCTCGTATCTGCTTGAAGAGACAATTCTGTTGACCCTGTGGTTCTCCTCTGTAATGGGGATGACTGGACCTCGCAGTTCTGTGAATTTTTATAAAACAAAAACTTTGTATATACACAGAGTATACTAAAATGAATTATTTGTTACAAAGAAAATACCAACAAGGTATTTTAAGATATCTTCTGCTGCTGAATTTAACAAAATTGTGAAAAAAGAAATAAAACACTTTCCAGCCATTTTACTGCAGCAGTTTGTGAACTAAATTTGTAAATATGGCTGCACCATTTTTTTTTTCCTAGGCCTACATTGTATTATATACAAGGCGTAGGCTCTAAAATCCTGTGGGACAAATTTACTGTACCTTACAATTCCTGACAAGACTTGCAAAAGCAGGAGAGATATTCTGCATCAGTTTGCAGTTCACTGCAAATCTTTTCCATTAAGGCAAAGATTGAATACATGTCTAACCACTAGCAATCAAGCCACAGGCCTTATTTCATATATTTCCTCAACTGTACAATGAACCGTTCTCATGAAAAAAAATGGCTAAAGAAATTATATTTTGTTCTATTGCTAGGGTAAAATAAATACATTTGTGTCCAACTGAAGTATAATTGTCATTAAAAATAATTTTAAGAGTTTGAAGAAAATATTGTGAATCGCTCTTGGTTGCACATATGTTATAAGCTGTTTTTCTTACACTCTGTTCATAGTACAGTAGTATGTTTAAAATGCAAGTTCTGCCCGTTTTTCACTTATTTTTCACTGTAAACAGTGTTCTGCTTTGACAAGTTAGGTTTTATTCTTTTCTTTTTTTAATTTTTATTGCCAAAAACATAATTTGGGGAGAAAATTGTTTTAGAAGCCAATTATGCTAAGCCTTGCACAAATTTGGTATAGGTAACAAAGATTGTAACTCAGTTCCCTGTTCATTCTTAACCAGGGTTGGGTGGTAAGGGGCAAAGGGGACACTGGACACTTCTCACAAACTTTCTCGTGAATAAAAGGTGCCTGTCCTTTAAAAAAATAAATAAAACATAACTATTACTCTTCCATATTCCTGTCTATATTTAGTAATTAATTTATTTTATGATAAAAATCTAATGAAATGTAAATTGTTTCAACTAAATTCTGCTTTTTTCATCCCTTTGTGTAAACTTGTTAATAATGAGCCCATCACTAATATCCAGTGTAAAGTTTAACACCTGTTTGACAGTAAATAAATGTGAATTTTTTTCCAAATAGGTAAAATGTGCATTATTATGTACAAAGCATAATTGGCATCAGCAAGTCCTTTGACCCAGCTGTATCCTGCTTAGAATGGCTTCTTTACATTTTATGATTTAAGTGTTGAGAATACAATAGAAACTGTCTGTGTAGTGCTACAGAAGAGTTCATCTTTACTATTCATTACCTTAGTCACAATTAAATAGGATCAAATTCAGACATAGCAGGGTCATTGGGAAAAAGTACTCTAATTTCATATATTTACACAGTTTTTAAGTAGGCATATGTATTGAAATAAAATACCACTATCATAGTCTCAGCAACAGTAATTAGCAGTAATTATTAGTGATGAAGATATATTCTTGTAGCAGGGAAAATGTAAGCAGCATTTGGGTAGTACTCAGAGTGCCATACAAATAATCAATCCATCACCGTTTTGAATTAGATAAATGAGCATGACTGCCCTCATTTCTATCAGACAGGAAAACTGCAGAAGGCAGCCCAAGATGTTATCTACAAATAAGTGGCAAAATTGGAAGTCTGAAATCTTTGTTTCCTTGGTTCCCAAGCCTCTTTCTGTCCCTCTAAGACCAGGGCTTCTCACAGATCATGCCAAGGACTTCATTTGTTACAGCTTCCGAAAATGCTTTCCTTCATTATCACAGAGGCCACTGTTTCATGTGTGGCCAGTGTGACTGAATACAGGCATGACAACAGCGAAAACTCATTTGAAAGCCTTATAAATTCTAAGTTGCTTCTAAACTGCTAGTATGTATAAAGCTCCATTAGGAATATATATTGATGCACAATAGTTTTGCATAGGTGCATTTTGAAAAAGTTTGGATTTCAAAAAAATTCTGGGGGCAAAAATTCCTGGTATTGAGACAGATCTAGCTCTATAAAAAAATACCTGGGTAAAGGTAACCTCATAGCTCAGATAACCTCAGTATATCTGTAATCAGGCCTGTGACTGTAGCAGTTATCACTGAAGACAAAGGCATCTTTACTGTATCCTACTGGTAGCTCTTGCCAGTAAGTTCCTTAATACTTAGAAGTTACTAACTTCATGTCAAAGTCATTTAAAATTTAATCAGAAACTGTTTACTTCTGTTAAATAGAGATGCTTTAAAAAAAAATCTGAAGTCTCTGTGAAGTAAGGGTTTGTTCTGATTCAGGGTATACCAGCAGACACTTTGGAGCAAAATGATTCCCTTGGTCTGCCTGGCAACTTAAAAACATACCTGCTGCCTTCTACCTAGGAAATCATGTCTTAGGGATTTAAACCCATGGTGCTCAAGTAATTACAGTACATGACCTAGTAACATCACCAGCTTTCAGCAGAATATTCCACCCTAATTCAAGCGAGTACTCCTTTGTGTCACATTGTCTAACTAGCAGTGGTGAAACTATATGCTGGAAGGTTTGTAGCATTGTGATACTAAAAATATAACCAATTGCAAATGTAACAAGCATTCATAAAATAAAAGAAAATTGAGCTGATGAACCTAAGATGAACCAGCTGAACCTAAGTATCACACCGGAATTCTTTTGTTAGCTTCTTTGTAGTATAGATGTTGCTTTTTAGCAAGCCTGTTTTTTTTTATTTTATTTTTATTTTTTCTTTTAATGTTTTGATAGTGAAATGTCCTGTGTTTAGCTAGCAGCTAGCAGTCAATAGCTTGCCAAATTTCTGTTGGTGTAACTTCTCAGTGTAGTAGATTACAATATAATTATATAGCTGACAGCTTATTGTAATTTCTTTGTGTTCTCTCTCACGTTCCTGCCATCTTGTCTTGGGATCAGAAGGACAGAAGAATTGAGAGGAAGAGTTCAAGAATAGCAAAATAATGACAGCAGAATTAATGGAAACAAGTGTTTGTCCAGGGTCACCAGTTAACCAGTTCCTACGATGGTGCCAAGGATATGCTGCTATTTTAGGCACTGTCTTTCAGAAGAGCTGTAATTTTCTTATGGCTAGTAATCTCCTGTTAGTATCAGTGTTAACCCTACTGGCTCCATCCAATTCTTCCTTGTAACTTCAGTCCAGTTATATTCCAGCAAAAGATTAAATGGGATGTGCATTTAGTGAACTGTTGTATAATGGTGCTATGCATTGTTTAATATAAAATACATCTCAATTCTACATAAGTGAACCATAACATGAAGAAATGCAACACTGGTAATACCTTTATAGTTAGAATTAACCTTTATCTGTGAACTCTACAATCCACCTTTGCTTCTTTTAAATTGGAAATGAAATTACTAATAAAGTTTACATACATTCACTTACATAGACAATAAAAGGTGTTTCAAATTGACGGAAGTTATGGATAAAATATGTGTCATTTTATGTCCTAATTTTTAAGGAATTTTTCTTTCTGAACTGAACAGACATTAACAGAATAACAAAAATAACTGTTCCCTGTGTACTGTTACCCAATTTTGCCTCAAAACTAACAAAGCCTGTCTTCCATAATTGATTATGTGACAACTTAGGATAAAGTTCTCTCTGAATGTAGCTTTTTAAAAATCAAGAGTAGCTACAGGCAGACAGCTATATATACACATACACACCTTCACAGGAGTTTCAGCTCACACATTCTAAGGGATGATTGAGAGTGAGAAGCACTGGGAGACATCAGCAGTTCTTCAGTTTCAGCTCTGCTGTAGCCCTACAAAACACTTCAGCCATTCAAAGAGGGAGCTCACAGTGAAACATACTTTAGATTTTTTTCAAATAGTTGGTGACAATTGACCTCCACATTTATGAAGGGCATTGCTACCATTCCAGGAAGCAAGGGGGTTGCAGCATGGGTCCATATTCATGGCTGCCTGGCATGCTGAGTCTCTACCCCAGAACTACACTAGAGGTTGGAATCCAGCTCTGTACTGAAGTTAGCACAGCCCTGGATGCAAGAGATTTGTGCCTCACGTATATAACCAGTAGGAATTCAATTAATGGACCCAGCTTGGTCATCCAGCTCTGGCAAAAAAATCTAGAGTAAGTGTTCATTAGAACCCTGTCCATTTCAAGAAAGCTTTTTTTTTTTCCTTCAGTAAAATACTTCATGTGATTTTTAGAATGACAACTTCCAAATCCCTTTATTCATGCAGGATAAATTCTCAATGGTATTTCATTAATTCATGCCTAAGAGCATTAATATCTCTTCTTACTGTATTATGTCATCATTAATCTCAACTGCACCCCATCAACATTCCTGGCATGTGAAACAGATCACACCAATATGCAGACAGAGTGGGTAGCAGTGCTGCAGACAACCACACAAGCCCCAGCTCAGCAGCAAGGAAATTTAAAGCACCATTCCATATAACAGACCAGCATGAAATCCCAGACTGAGGAAGTCACAGTGGCAGAAATAACATTCAGAATAAGTAGTTTTAATCAAGAGAATCCTTCCAAAGCAAATTTGATCTAATTTTTAACCTTTTTTGTTGTTGTTGCACATCACCTCTGCATCTTTGAGTAGGGGACCTGGTACAATGGAATTGCTGCACTGCAAGCCAGTCTGAAGCTTAGGCAGAAAAGCTGAGCACAGGAACACATAGGTACATTGAAAGGTCTGTTCACATCAACCTATATAGTATCTGCATGCATTGTTGTTTTATTTTTAAGGAGAAGTAAACTGATAAGAAACATTCTCTGAGAAAGCCATTCTAGCCTTGTAGAATAAGAACAGTTTTTAAATAGCTTAATGCTGAGTTTTCAGCCTCCAGATTGCTTAGAAGAGTTTCAAAGGTTAACAAGGTTTTCATGAAAATAATTCATTTTCACTCACTTTGAATAGCCCAGTTTGCTTTTTTTCCTGCATTAGTGGGATAAATAGAAGTTGCTTAGCTTGCAGTCTTCCTAGTACTCATTAAGTATTTCTATACTATCTCCTACTACTCAACTCCTTTCTAAACAAGTTCTTATTTTCAAACTCCTTCTGTTTCAAAATCATTTAGTTGCCAGAATTACTCATTTCAAGAATGCTGTAAGAGAGAAGACAAGCACAAAATTATTCTTGGGTTGTTTTTGTTGATTTATGGGTGGAATTGTATTTTCTATTCTGTCCTTCTCAACTTCCCCACTCCTCATCCCACATGATATTTTCTTACTATCTATTCACAACACAATTTTTCCTACTAAGCTGATCATGGCAAGTAACAACATAAATAGTTACAGTTAATGTAAAATCCAGGAAAGCTTACAAGATACTTCAATTCTTCCTTCAAAACTGTGTCCAACTTTATCAGCATTGCATTTCACATGGCCCATTTATTCACTTTGTTAACTCAGGTCATTCCCAATCATCCCTAGCTCTGATTAACTGAAGTAATTCTCTGTTAAAAGAAAATGTTGCCACCTCTCAGATAGCATGCTCATCCCCCTCTTCGGATAGCTCAAGTTTTAATACAGAGTGTTGGGGTATTATATCATTAGCCTATTGCCATTGATAAAGAAAACCTGACCATTCAATCCTGCTCAACCCCTTAATTTTTAACACAAATACTTCAACTTCCCAAACTCCGTTCTGCTTTAGTAGCCTCTTGGTAGACATGTTTTCACAAGAATTTTTCCTTTTAAAATCCAAATAAATTACATCAGCCATATGACTGGCTTAACTTCAGTGTATTAGAGAGGCACCATTTTCTAGCCCTGACTATATCCATCTCTTTCAGCACTGCTTCTTCTAAACCACATGCTTTTTTTTAACCCTATGTATGTATTATGGCATATGGAGACCTCCCTGTCACACGTAAGGAGGACAGTGATGTCTGAGCAAAAAGTACTTGCCTGTTCAAAGTGAAATTCAGATGGAACTTAGGCAGTGAAATTCCAAGGTATATAACTCACAGGCACAACAGATGTCACTTCAGGGGCAGAAGTAATTTTAACCTTGCATTTTGTTTTCTTAATTCCTGCTGCTCTGTACATGCAGCCACATGGTTATGGTGAAAGCGAGACAGTGAGCACAGTCACTACCCTTCTTACGTGTGACAGGGAGGTCTCC